CTCGAGCTAAAATCCCAAATATTCTCCAAGTAATATACCGGTCGTTGACGTATACTTAATACTTGCACACGAAATGCAAGAGTCCATTGTCCGGGCGGATAACCGGTGACAAATTATGTCGTTTTTCTGTTATGTGCCGTGGCGATTTGTGTTTGTCCGGTGCATATGGATCACGAGGGTGTGTGTGTGTGTATGTGCATGTGTGACTATAAACAATGTCCGGGCCACTGTTGCTGGTCGTGGTGTCAATGGACCAACCGTTATTTTATTATTATAGCCGTCGTCGTTGTCGTCGGTATAAATGAAGAAAGATAAAAAAATAAAAAATTGCGCGCACACGATGTGAGTGTATGTTTTCCCAGTGTATATACTCGGCACTCGGCCGCCGAGATTGTGATCGCTTTATCGGAGACCATTAATCGATTGAGGGGCAACCGTTTCTGCTGTCGCGCCGGTGGTCTCCGGCCAGCTCCGGCTGCTGTTGGGGCTGTTGCCGGCCGCGGTCGATCACGATCGATGTGCGTATCACACGAGAGCGGAACTCGGCACCAGTGTGCATATACACATAGGTATAGGTGTAAAATATAATCAGGCCTAGGAGTTATATAGAGGTAACCGTGGGATGGGGTGGAGCCATAGAGTAATAATACAAAGAGATGAACTAACATTTATACTACTCACAGATAATATGGAAGTCGACATGTGCCATTTTTGTGGGATTTGTGTATAAAATAATTATATATATATATATATATATATATATATATATATATCTGTGATTCAGTGTTATCACTTGACAATCTAGTTTATATATGCATGTACTAGCTTGTATGCGACAGTGAGGTAAACGGGAGGACTAAAACCAGAGTAAGTCCTCATTACTAAATATGATAAAATAAGTTTTCACCCCTTGTCTTAAAATATTATCGTTGAACTTGGTGAAATTCCACGACTAGGATAATAGCTGTGATGTTGTTCTGACCTCCGAGCAAATATTATTACAACCGAAGAATTTTGCGAGCTTTAGCATATATACAGTTATATACAATAGCCGCTTCCCCCGTCGTCCACCCTCGCTATGTGTTGTTTCCATATTTACATTGCGCCCGAGACGGTCTCTCGTCTCGTTGGTTCGCCTGGGTATTTAATATTGCGGCAGACGGACTAACGAGTCTAATATATACTAAAATAATAATTTAACAACGCTAGAGCAACATAGATTTCTTAGCGACGGCAAAAATGAATAATAATATGATGTATTATTATTCATTTTTGCAGACATTTTTGGGACAGTATCAAATTCCGAATTCCCATGAACCCCTCGGGAGTTACTACAATTTACACCTACACGAAGCCGCCTTACCAATAGTTGTGTATTATGTGCTAATCCTCTTCTGAGCGTGTGGAAACCTCCTTCTTGGGTTGTTACTCACTCTTAATATGAGCCCAAATATATTTTGTAATATTAAAAAAACTTCGGTGAACGGTTATAACTGCGATGTGCTAGTTCATCGTTGTACAAACAAGAATTGAATGTATAACGTGACCGACACTACTATTGCTTAAGAGAAACAAATCTATCGAAATATTATTATTCCATTTCTTTCAGATTATTATTATTATTATTACTATTTTTTGCTACTCTACGCGACCTTATTATTTTTTTTTTTATCATACACAAATGGAAAACGGTTTTCAATAATAAGCGAATGATGAAAAAAAAAATTGAATTGACCATAATCGATCAAATATTATTTTTTTTTCCTCGCAACTATTGACCGTACCTAATTACATCTTTAAACCGGTAACGCCTATAACAACACAGAAGCGTTCTAATTCATTTTTAATATACTTTTATTTCTAGTGTGTAATACACTGTTTCTTTTTGTCGGTTTCGAGTATCGCTTGACACGTTTTTTTATCGCACGTTTCTTTTCTTGTATGTATATTTCATGTGTATTTCGAGGGTTGAACGAATGGCAAATTATTTGTTTTATTCAAAAGTTTACCGGTAGCGCCGTCTAATCTATATTATAAGAGCGTTATCGGTTAATGCGGCTATCGAGTCGAGCTAAGTGTTGTGAAGGTGGGTACCTACCTACATACTTATATGTAGTAAACTTAGTCAGCCAAACAAGCGTTTATCTGGCGCACATTTTTCGACGATTACACGGCCGACGCGCATTGACATAGCAACGTCGTCACGCATGAAATTTTATTATTTATTTTATAATACATTTATATATATATATATATTTTTTTTTTGACCCGTGTACCGGTGTATACGGTGGTAATACGCGCATACCCCCAATCCAATAAGAATAACAGCTATACAGAAATTCCTACAAATATACACCGGCGGTAGGCGTGCGCTTTTGTCAACAGCATCCGTCCGGTGTGTGTGTTTGTTAATCCGACAAATAATATAATATATTATTATATTTTGCGCCTTTTCAATATTGTAGAAATGAATGAAATTTACCGCACGTACGCGCATACAAATTATTCCAAATGACCGAACGCCACTGTGGAGTTCAGAGCATATATATATATAACATATAAATATAATATGTACCTATATTGGTACAATGACTCTGTACGGAATACAATGCACATAGTATGCACATGACGCTATTTAAGCGGTAATTGTCGGCTGCAATGGGATCTCTTTGACACGGCCACGCATATTGCTGCGAACCCGGCACGTCTCAAAATGTGTATCACCCTGTGTAATACGCGCATGTTGTATTTTATTGTAATAGTAGTTAGCATTTTTGTATTATTGTATATTATTATACCTTTCAGGTGTCCCCCCGGTAATCCGCGTGTTTGGATTCCGCGACCGTATTGCCGTGAAATTTCCTGTGTCGCCCATTGTGCATAATATATCACACCTTCGCCTCCCCCCCAAAGGTAATAACGGGTATTTAGGCCTTATTATCGCCGCCCCCGTGTCTCGTTGTTCGCGACACCTTCGGCTTGCCTGCGCACGTATTATTAGTATTATTATTATTATGATAATAATATGTTATTATACTGTACGTTGGCGGGTTGATGCGGGATTCGCAGCAGCTGTTCGGTTAGTATGACGATTATTGTCACCCGCATGCAAAAAAAAAAAAAAAAAACCTAGAGAAACCCATAAATTACCGTGAGCCCGTCGACCTGATAAGGAGCTTTTCGGCCTCGACAGTGACTAGGAGGGTGGGCGGAGGGGGCGGTTAGTTGATAAATTGCGGTTACTCTCGACGGGGGTTTTGGAGTTGAGATAAAATAAATAAAAAAAAAAGAGGAGAGAAACCCGCGAAAAGCACATACGGCGGTGACGTCGCATTTGAATAAAGAGCGATAAATTGACATCGCGTGCGTCCGGACAAGTAAACGCTGCCCGAAGTCTTCCCTTTGCGCGGAGGGGAGGCAGTTGAAGATAAATCGCCGTCTCGCGTGGTAACATCGTGAGAAACGACGGCCTAAACAACAAGAAGAAGAGGGTATCAAACAAACTACTACTACCACTACATATATGGAGAGAGGTATCGTCTGCTATCGGTCCCATCCCCTCCGCCGCCGCCGAGTGTTCCGTTATTTATACATATATTATATTATACACACACATAGAGAAGCCCGCGAACGGTCTGGAAAAAAATATCGAAGGGGCGGTAAGTTATGTATACTTCCATTTGGTAAATTAAAAACGACAACGCCGCCGTCGCTGGTTTTTGTGTTTGCTACGCCTAAAAAGTAAAAACGATACAGCCTTGCCTCTCTACTCGCCCCTAAAATAATAATAATAAAAAAAAAAAACTCTGTACATTCGATAAAGGATTCCGTTTTTGCACGTGGCAGTATTGCCCTTATTACGTTAATGGACAAGCGTTGCCTTGTCATTATTTTTATTATTATTATTGCGCATTAAAAGCAAAAAAAAAAACCGTCGGGTTCGGTCAAATAATAATATAATCAGTCTGGTAACCGAGAGATTTCTCTATACATATTATCATCATGATATGTATAGCTGCGGCAGCTGTATACGCCCCGACAGACGCAGTCGTTTTGAATAGGCTGAATTTTAAATGATAATGATATCTCGTCGATGGATAATATTACCGACGACGACGACACGGCACGGTTTTACATATAGATAACCGTATAATAATAATATTTTCCAGGTATTCCTCTCATTCCTGCCGCCGCCGGCGTGTGTAATAATAAACCTCCACGGGTTCGGAAAGGAGATTTAATCCTATTTACACACATGAACCGAGTAAGGTGAGCAGTGAGAAATTAATATCTAATTATTGTGCTGACAGACACCTCGGCGGCGGCACATTGTTCTGGCTAAACGCCCATTAAGCCATTTTTTTTTTTGTATGTATATTTTTCTCAAATGTCTACTAACGGCGTGTGTATAACTTAACTGTAAAGACGCGAGCCGACTCGATGGGAACTGTTTTATTTTTATTTTATACATATTTATATGTATACAGTTCCTGTTTTTTAATTCTTCCGCATAACTGTGGTGGATAGCGGTTCGCATTGAGAACCTATCGTCGATTTAATATAAATAGTATATAAAAGAGATCATTGGCGAGCAACGTTGTTGGTTTTTGTGTCAGTCGTCACACGATTTCTTATTATATTAATATAAGAAAATACGTAAGAGTATGTTTGTGTATAATAATCTTGTGGAGTACGTCTAGCCGATGACAAAGTAAAACGTTTTCGTCTGGATACAGCCGGAATTAAGTAAAAACCAGATTACCACCGCTGAAGTGGTAGCGCGGGGAGTAGTCGAGGGAAGAAAAGAAAAAGAAGGGGGTTGGGTGGAGCACTATATAATATAATATAATAAATGTGTCGCATTCCTTTTATTATTTTTCATTTTACGACTCTCTCTCTCACAATGTTGTTATAAATAATATACTCGGGTCGTATTATATTTTATATACACGTATCAGTTTTTATATTGTACTTTAATGTGTATGTATTTTGTTTTTCAGGTAAGTCTATGTCACGAGTCTCGCCAACTCGCAGTAAAACACAGCCGCACAAGAAAGGTTGTCCGTCTTGCTCTAGCATCAGGTACATAACTTTAGATTCAGGTAGGGGAGTAATATTCGACGACGGTTAACACTGTTGGAGTATAGATTTAAAAAAAGAAAAATAATTTAAAATTATTTAAAGTTTTGATTTGCACAACAACACGTTGTTATACTGATGTATATATTATATTGTTTACAAGTGTTTAATTGCTTAATTACCGTACACAGCGAGTACGGTCGCGTTAGTGGTTTTCATCAGATTAAGAAGCGAACACTGTTTTTTTCCCTCCACAATATTACATACATAATAAAATGAAAACATTCCTGCGGCGCACTGCCGTGTAACCGCTGCGCTGCCGCACGCATACTTGTCTTCTCGTTGGACGTGCACCACTATAAAAAAATTAAAAGAATAAAAAATCTTTACCTATTTTTAAACGTGTGTTAAGCGAGTCGGTCGACTATATTGCGCGTTAAACGTATAAAAATATAAAAAATGCACGCGAAATAATTATAATAATTAGTTACCGAACAGCAGGATTGAGCCATTTGACGGCGCCGACATTGTAAACATTCATAAAAACATTAAAAATATATATATTTATATCACTAATTTAGGACCTTAGGGCTTAACATAAACTTGACAGAAGGCGGCTGATGTAGTTTATTATAATTTTTTTCTTAGGTCGGGCCCCAACCGTGTCGTCGTAGCATGCCCTATGCGGTGATCGAATTGGCAAAATAAAAGTAGGGGACGTTTTTACTTGAAATAAGGGCGTACCCGGCCAAATGAATTTTACCCCTAAAAACCACCAGCTATAAAACTCGGTAGGAGTATGACATAACAGTTGGGGTACTCAGACCCCCGTCCCCCCTGATACGAGCGCTGGCCCTATATTTTCTCATGTGCCCCGAGGCAACGTCTGCATAGTGCCAATTTGTTAACTAATATTGTTATCTAACTAAGATTGAAAAAATGAATGGTTTATAAAAAAATAAATTGTGTCGTTAAAAAAAAAAAAAACTATGCGCTGCTTTGCTCATCTAAACAAAACGCGGTTTCTTAATTAGGATTGAGTGAGTCTAATGAGAAAATTTGTTTTGTTTTCTACATCTACGCCTCCTCGTCCGTTTTATGAGCTCGTGGAAAAAGAGCCCGGTAATACGGGTCATTTGTATTCACGAGATAACTTCGAAGGGGTAACCGGAGGAGGAGGAGGCTGTGACGACCATGGCGGTGAAAAAATAAGGGTGAAAGAAAAATAGATTGCCGTGTTGAGGGGGAAGATTCGAAGAGATGTGGTGTACGGTCGAGAACGCAAGCCGAGTAAAAAAAACGAGCAAAACGCAATTGACCTTTACCTACGCAATTATTTCTAAGACAGTGGAACGATTTCAGTGTAATTTTCACATTGACATTACGGTTAAAAATGGTAATAATTAAAAATATTTTGTTTCCATTTGATTTGAATTCGTATTTTTTTTTATTTTTTATTTCGGGAGTTGCTAAGTAAACAATGTAATTATCCATACTGGAATATTATTCGAACGATATGATCTTCAGAGGGGGGTCGGACACTCGCGTGCAAGATAATTCATATTAATAATTATTTATATCGAAACGAAAACGGGTTAGGCGCAGTATCATGACTGATGAGATTAATTTCGGCCGACGACGTTTCTTTTAATGCTCTCTCTCTCTCTCCGTCGGATCTGAACTTGATTATATATTTTTATCGCCATCGTTCTCTTGTACTCTCCGACACACATGCCGCTGCTTTTACCTTACGGGGGTCATCATATTATGAAAAATAGAAGAGTATAATATAATACGCGCACAGTCGTTCGTTATACGTTTTAACTGCCGGTATCTATCTACATTATATGTGTGTGTGTGTGTGTGTAATATAGTTCTCTATGGTGTGCGCCACACTATGCTCGACCGCGTATAGAGATATACTGACAAAATATTATGATTCATAACGCTCTCGTGTAAGCATATTGTATTTAAATACGGTCCGGTTTACGCCACCGTTTGTATATTATTTGAATATAAGAGGCGATGTTATAGTATAATATATAAATAATAATAATTATAATAGCGCATCCCGGATCGATTCACTGTCATGTCGTCGTCGTCTTGTTGTTGTTGTGTGTATTAGGCAGCTAATTCGAATCCGTTTTTTAAATGGATTTCTCATTATTATGTTAGCTAAAACACAAGGGCCAACAAGGTTTATAAGTAGTCGTCCTATAATAACATAAAATATTATATTATAGCATTGGATGCATTAAAAAAAAAAATTCCGGGTTCGCGTTACTACCGCCCTTATATTATGTTCAAAGTGCATGAAAAAAAAAACAATTCGTTGTTTTCCGCTCGCCGAATACATAATAATATTTAAAAAATACATGTTAAAAAAACAACGTTTTCATCATAAATACCGAATTATACTACACTGACGCAGTTCTTGGGTGCATTGTAAAAAAAAAAAAAATTAAAACAAATAAAAACCGTTTCGGCGAGTTTTAATTTTTCACAGAACGACGACGTTCGCAGCATTATACAACGAACATGTATACTGGTAATATTGCCATGTTGTTATTAAAGCGACGGGGGGGGGGGGAGAGGCGAGGGGAAGGACTGAGTACCCAGAAACCGTGCGATTTGTTTTTATGAAAAAAGTATGTTGTAAAAATTCGTGTACGGTTTTTCACGGTTTTATTATTATTGTTGCGCGCCTTCTTCTAACCTAACCTACATAAAAGTAATGCAAAATTCGCGTTATAACACACTTAGAAACACTATCATGACGTGTAATGGATTTCATAATACGGACTCGTGTGTATTAAAATTGCGGTCTACCGGATCGATTGTCTCTCTCGTGTAATATATATATATATTCAGATATTATGTAAAGAAGATATGATGTTGCACAGAAGATAAGTGTTGTACCTTATACCTATACGGTATGGGGAAAGCCACGGAGCACCGTGTGATTTATTCCGTTTCCTCTTTCATAGCTCGCATATTATACTTACATGCATGCTTTCTGTTTTTTTAATAGGGAAAGATATATTCGACGAAGATGATAATTACATAGTCCCCGCAAAAGTCTTGGCGATGAAATAATACTTAAGTACACGGCCAAGTTATGTATATAGACGTGTAGACTGTAGAGTCTGTGTATAGTAGATGTATTAAGGTTTTTGTTCAGGAAAAAAAACGGGTTTTCAATTTCACCCAAGACATATAATATTGTATATAATTTAAACCGCTAATTTTACTAATTGCGCACAAATCCTGTTTACCCGGAGAGTATAATATAAGAAAAAGGATTTGATAAAGATGTGGAGATCGCGTGTCTAATCTGAGCGGGTTAGGTTAGGTTAGGTTAGGTCTAATCTCACCTCGACCCTTACTTTTTTTTTATCACTTGCCTTGGCCGGGTTATTCGTTTTGAATTGCGGCATGTATTGAATCAAATTGGATTATAACCGTCTGCAGATTTAATCCGTGCCCTTTTATTTTTTCTCATTATATTATTACATCCATACTTTCCAAGCACCTCACCGCGTCCACAGTGGAGCGGGCACTATAACTATTATTACGGAATTACCGTACACACGAGCTTCCTCTCCAATGGGTATATCCTTTATAAGGGATTACTATTATTGCCTACGATATTTTTTTTCATTTTCATTGTATCTTTTGTGTGCAAGTCGATCGCGGTCGTGTGAACCCGCCGGCAAAACAGAACCAGATCATTAATCCGGAACTCTGCTTCGCGCAACCGGTCCGCTCGGGCAAAATCTATTACCGTTCTTATAGTCTTCTTCGAATTCTTTACCGCGTGCCCTCCCCTCCAAACGTATCCCGCACACGGTCTTCCGTTCGCCGCCCCCCGGTGACCATCTGAATGTTGTCTAACACAAAACCGACCGCGTGTAGGGTTTTTTTTAATGTTATTATTACTACATTAGAATATGTAAGGTACCTAGTATGTAGGTTTTTATTATTATTGAGATTATTCTTCCGGAGACCGGCAAGGCTTGTCATAACCGACCGGTCGCGATCATTATTCAGACTCTGCACAGTGTTTGCTGCTGTCTCTTGGTATAAATCACACACATACACACACAATATCCAAGCCTATACGCGGATATACGTTTAATATTAAGAAAATAAGAAAACGGGTTTTTTATAAGGCGGCGGCGGCGGCGTGAACAACCGTGTGTGCACGACGACCGTCGACGAATTCGATATCATCGTCTCACGCGGTGGTGGACACACCAAAAAACAAACAAGTTCCTTTGAGAGAGAGACGACGAACCAAAAAAAAAAAAAAAGTATAATATTATATTTATACTTTGTATAAAAAGTAAAGAATTAATAATAAAAAAAATGTATGAAATACCCGTGAAAGTATCCAGCTGAGTGCACCGCGGCCGACGCCGATATTTTATCGGATAATTTTTCATACTTTCATATAATTTAAGAGGTGAAGAAAAAAAAAACGCCGAGTAAAAAAATTGATTATTTCTCGGGTCGCGTGGGAATATGATATAGAATATACTCGCACTTATCGGTTATATCTGACCCGGGTTTTTTAATATATTACACTGGCAAACGTGCGATATCTTTGGAAACAAAAGCACTATATTTTTATATTTTATAATAAACAAAATATTTCAATAATATGAACCAGAACCATTGTTTGTGCGCGCACCGTCTCGTCGCGCGCGTTTCCCAAAGAGCCTTTCTTTTTTAACGTACCTCGGACTTACCTTTTTGACGTTTATTGCAATATATATAAAAAAAAAACCCAGGACGCTTCACCTTTTCCGCCACTTTATAATAATATCGCCCCCCCTCTTCCGTTCTGGCCCTCGTTTGTTGGCTTATGCAAATTGTGTTTTTATTGAACGTCGCTTCTTCTCGCGAGTACGAAAATATTGCATACACACGTATATATATTTTTATATCGTCTATATTATTATTTTACGATACACACGTTCGGGTATATTTACACTTATTTA